GAAAGAGACAAGAGCCGAGAAAGATTGCAACTGAAAAATATGTGCATTCATAATAAAAATTTATGAGACCAGCCTGAAAAGAAAACTTGGCAGAAGTTTGCCGTGAAGAGCAGAGCAGTAAGAAAAGCCAGAGTGAGAAAGAAAACAGGAAATAGAAAAAAACACATAGAGAAGCGGAGAGACAGAAGTTGTGTTGTAGCAAATTGCTTCGTAAAAACATCAACTTCATTGCCATTATAAAGTTCAACAAATACAATTTATATGCAACAAAACGCATCAAGGCAGAAACAGGTAACAATCCACAGAAAGAGACGGCTAGCTGGCAGGAGAAAGAGAGGTCTGGCTGCATATTATGAGTAAACAGCAATCACCAAAGCGAACCAAAACATTTTTGCGGGTGCATACCGTATGTGCATTTTCCGCCACAAAAAACTTTTCAATGCAAAACTTTTCTTTCCGTCTCTGAACTCGAATCGCTTTTTATCTGGGCAACTTTTATTCGGTTTGGCTACACAAATACATTTTTAAATAATACCACGCGTCACATTCGGCGTATGCGCAATTTGGCATGAACACCCTCAAAGTATGCAGCACAAAATAAGGAAAGTATTCATTTCAAACATTTTTCAAATCACTTTCAAATGGAATTTTAATTTGGCTGAGCCAATTTTGCGTGCCCCTAATAAATAAAAGCATTCATCTTTGATATGATACCAAGGATACTTCTTCTGCTCCAATTTGCGTTATTACACTGAGAAAAAAAATTGAGAACCAAAAACCCAAGCGAATAAAGTCGGCTTAAGTATATCTTAAAACTAGAAAATCATGGGATTTTTTCTTACTAATAAATATAAAATAATAACTCTTATTTCAGAAATGTATAAATAAAAACCTTAAAAAATACGGAGTAACTTAAATTATAAATGTCTTAAGTTAGAAAAATTGATCCAATTTTTTCTTTAAATTTTAAAATCTAAAATGCTTACCACAATATCTCTTAAGTTTAATTTGATAACATTTTTTGGGATTAGCTTATTTGATGTGAATTTTGTTATTAACATCGTTAATCATTTAACGGGGTCTTATTAGATTTGAAGTATTAATTTGGAAGCCTGAACTAGCTTTTCTATTTATAGCTTAGATATCCTCCATCCTTAGATTTTCTCTGTGCCGCAATTCCGTCTCCTCTCTTCCACCAAAATGCCACTCGTCTGTGGAATGGAATATGACAAACAGCAGCAGACGGAGCAAGCCAGACAGGAATGGCCTGGGAACTGGGAATCGGGGGATCCCCCACAGGGGCTGCAATATTTCAGCACTCAACTCGACAGCCAAGTGTCTGCTAGTGGGACAACACGAGGGGAGGGGCAAGGGGAGGGGCAAGGGGGGGTAGGAGCTCTCCTCTAAGGGCGTTTGAGTTTTTAATAAGCAGCCAGCGCGGCGTCAAATGCCAGAAGTTTGATGAAAGTGAAGGCAGCTTGTCCGGGCATCCCCTTTCTCCATTTCTCTTCTCGCTGGCAGTGCAGTTTTCAAAATTGAATAAAGTTGACAAACGAGGGAAGACCCAAAAGGTGATAAATTCTCAGCCCTCAGTCTCACAGACTGAAGTGTCGTCAGCAGTTAGACGGAAAAACGGGAAAATCTGGTGAAAAGGGAAACCGAGAAAATACAAATTTAATTGCAGTGAGCGAGGATTTGAAGGATGGGAAAAACGAAAATATACAGGTCAAGCGAAATCATTTTACAAGTGCAATTTGCCAAATGAGATACAAATTCAGGCGCTGGTGTTCGTTGCTTCTGATGTTGCCCTCAGTACTCGAAAATCTTTTTTCTAAGGTTTTCCAAGTTTTGATATTTTTAGTTATGCCATACTTTTTTACATACTTCCTGCTAACAAAAAATGCAAATATGTCCAAATATTTAAAATAATAACAGAAATAAATATTCATAATTTTCATAATTGGAAAGGTGTTCCTGCAGTAGAGGGTTCAGAAATAAAAATCAATGAAATTGTTTTTATTTGAATGATGTTCCACTTGGAACAAGTGGGTCTACCTGGCCGTAAAACCAAACTCCTAAGGTCATTGGGCATTATCACCACATTCTTGTCAGGCAATCAACTACCGCTCCTCAAGCTCCCAGTGCCCCAAGTAATCCATCGGAAAACAACAGCAACGGGGGCCCATTCATAAGCCTCAAGGTTAAACCACTAAAAATCATTGACCAACATCAAAGAGCCATTGTTTTTGGCCAAGAGCAAATGGACCCGAAATGCTAAGCCCCTAAATGAAAATGGGAATGGGATGCAACACAATACGACGCACAAATGTCAAAGAAGTAGATTTATGCCAATTGCTTTTAAGCACCTTGAATATATATATCCCCAATGTGTGACTAATGAACAGGCCCTCCAACTCCAGTACGTTGGTCTTTTATTTAGCCGTTTGGCCCACCCACATTTGCACAATTTACGATTTTTCGCTATTACCAACACGGCCTATAAGTCTTTGTATATTTATATATTTTTGTATGTGCAAGAGCGATGGCAGCAGCCAGCTCATTAATTTCGCTTAACTTCACAAATTGCCAATTGTGCGCATTGGTCAACATTTTTACTTCATTCCGTCTCGCTTCCAATTCGTGGTTGACTGGGCCTGGTTTTTTGGTTCTGGTTCTGGTTCTGTTTCTGGTTCTGACTGCGGACCAGGTTGATTTCCTTTTTCCCCGGACATCGCTATATGTCCATGTCCGACAATTTCTTCTCTATTGTTCTCGCAGTCGTATTTATTGCCTTGAATGCCAATTTGTTTCATGTACCCATTGTTCTGCACTTATGGGTCAAGGTAGTGAGGTTTGGTGGAGCACTTTGTAGGCTCAAAAAATATATGGAAGATGAGGAGTTTGAGGGAAACTAATCAATAGGTAAATGTTAAAAGATTGGTAAATTATACAAACACATTAACAATATTTAAGCTTTAGAAAATATATTTTGTATTGTTTAAATTGAAACCATTTAATGTAGGCCTGACGTGAGTGCCCTTAATTCTTCAAACATTATATCGGACTTTGCTAACATAAAGTGTATATAAGTCAGTAAATGATTCTTCCTGAAACTTATGTAGAGTGTTCCTCATTTTAAAAGCATTTATATTGACTTCCCTTTAACAGAAGCAAAGATATAGCAGATTAGTTAAATTTAATTATACCTTGAAGTTGGATATTAATTATTATTTTTCCAACCTTTAGCAAGTTTTAATGGTGGATGTGATATCGGTTCGCAAATAAACAAATTTTAGAATAATATATCTTCAGGACTATAGAATATTAAAAATGATACAAAAACAAGAAAGGAAAGCTAACTTCGGGCGGAGCCGAAGTTGATATACCCTTGCAGAATATTCCATAAATTATAATCTCCAAAATTATTCATATGATGCATTCTTAATACTCAGTCCCAACTTCCTAACTTTAAAAACACCATAGTTATGACATTTCCAATCGTTCAGTTATATGGCAGCTATAAGATATAGTCGGCCGATCCTTATGAAATTTGGTAGGTCGGATTGATTGGCCAAAAATAAAACCCATAGAAAATCCCAACTTCCTAACTTTACAAACACCAGTTATGGCATTTCCGATCAATCAGTTGTATGGCAGCTATAGGATATAGTCGGCCCATCCCGGCCGTTCCGACTTATATACTGCGTGCAAAGGAAAGAAGGGTGTGTGCAAAGTTTCAATTCGATATCTTTAAAACTGAGAGACTAGTTCGCGTAGAAACAGACAGACGGACAGACAGACGGACAGACGGACAGACAGACGGACAGACAGACGGACAGACGGACATGGCTATATCAACTCAGGAGGTGATCCTGATCAAGAATATATATACTTTATAGGGTCGGAGATGTCTCCTTCACTGCGTTGCACACTTTTGACCAAAATTATAATACCCTCTGCAAGGGTATAATAATCAGAGAAATGCTGTTTGCTTTCTAAAATAGTACACAAATTTGAGCATGCGGAAATCAGTTCTTACTTACTAAATATAATGAAATAAATTAAATGTGGTCTAAAAAATAATAAGGGTTAATAAAAATTGTCACGTCCATCAATTGCCTAAAAAAAATCGATTGGAGTGAAGAAAAACTGGCAGATAATAATTGATACATGTTCTTGAGGCCATAAGGCCACAGAAATAAATTGACTTGGTCAAATTTTCCAATGCATTAACTATAACTATATATATAACAATAACATTAACTATACAAAAAGTTTTGTAGCTATTAAAACTAGAAGCCCATTGGTATAGGCTTTCTATGCCCTCATAATAGTAACTCTAATAGTAACTCTCATTTTAAATTTATATTTTTGTGCGGTGGCTTAAAAAAATATATGCTGAGCTCTTTTTTTTCGCCCTAGCATTATAGACACTTTAAGTTCAAATTGCATAATTAATAAAATAAAATTAGATTACTAAAAACTGCGACTTACAAGTTGGTTTTATCTATAGAAGTCAAATTTGAGTACCTAAAATATGGTTATGAACTTAGAGTATTCTTCAGTCAGCTTGCCTTTCGTTTTATTTTTGTGTCATTTTCCTGTTGCTGCTGTTCATATGACTGTTGCTTTTTGTGCCGTCTGCGTACACATGAATTCTTAGTTTATGAACTTCAGCTGGCCCCACAGTGTGTAAGGTAGCAACTTCTCGTTAATGTTACACTGGCATGTTACCTCAATCTGTGTGCCTTCCCTTCCATTACTTTCCGCATTCTATGAACAATAAAAATGGTGACAAATTGTCATCACACGGCACAAATGGGGGTTTTATTAATGCCAGCGACTTTTATGGTTGCGGCACGGTGGCGTATGCGTAATGTGAGTTATGACATGGGGGCTAGACAAAAGGGGGAATGGGCAATGAATGAAAATGAACCCAGGACAAAACCATCAATTAGCATAACACAACTGAAGCACACCAACCTCGTTTTCCTTTCCAGGATGTGAACAACATCTACGCACGCAACTACATAGCCGGCAAGCCAATCCAGAAGAAGGACGAGCAGTTGGGAACCCCCGAGGCGGCACTCCGGGCGAGACGCCTCCACGCTCAGAAGCAGAAAAACGAGAGAGGTAAGCCATTTGCAGGGGATAAGGGACTAAGCCAGCTGACAAAGCCACCCTCCCATTTCAGCCCTTGCCCACGCCCACATGAACCAGGTGCTGAAGGAGGCCACTTGCCGCGTGCCCCAGAAACGCTGCCAGCTGGTGCAGCAGGATCCCTCGAAGATCTACACGCCCCACTGCACCATCCTGCACCGCTGCAGCGAGGACAGTGGCTGTTGCCCGAGCAGGAGCCAGATATGTGCCGCCAAAAGCACCCACAACGTTGAGCTTCACTTCTTCGTGAGTACCTTGCACCCATATCATAGGATCATTTCCGAGACGTTCACTGTTTGGGATACGCAGAACTTTGGAGGAGCTAATAAAATAAACTATTTCGAGTCTAAGAATCTAATACAAATTAACAGATCTATTTAAGAAGTTATAACAAGAAGCTTAAGCGGACCCTTCCCCCCACTCTCGATTTTTGACGACCCACCCCATTGCACCCATTTATTTGAAATCTTGAAAAAAAAAAACAAATTTTACCAAATTTTTTTTTTGTTTTTTGTCATTAAACAAAAGCCCTTCTTTTCGGCGGCGCATGTGATTTTCGCTCAGTAGAACATCTGAAACCAAAAATTCCAATGGGATTAGGAAGAGTACATTTATGGCTCTGGCATGAACTAAGATTATTAATTTAGCACAAAAATAAACAAAATTTCGGACCTTTGAAATTTTTTTTTAGAAAATCGCCTCTTTTCAGCCACAAATCAAGAAGTTCTTCACCAATTTGATTTATCCAAGTTCATGCAATAGCTATATATGTATAGAATAACGTAATAAAATTTGGAAACGATTGGATTAATAATTGTTGAGTAACCTCATGCGCCAGTCGTAAAAATACTGTTTCGAGAAAAACGCATTTAAAGTTTTGAGAATCTCTCGCCGTCGCCTGACGCTTCCACCATAAATCGGATATATCTTCAAAAGTTTATGAAATTTTTTTTTCTTGAATTTTATAGGTTCAAATTAAATTAAAAAAAATCGATTTTTTGATACCGAGAATGGGGGGTCCCCTTAATACTATTGTTCCCAATTATATATCAATCGAAAATTTTTTGTATGATATTTCTGGAGACCCAACGAAATTAACATTTATTTATTTATCATACCAAATTCTGTATGCTCGTAAATCAAGTGTTAAAGTACGAAAATCGTATTATATGATTTCTAATTTCTTCCTAAAACCGTGCCCTCGACTCTCGGAAAACAAACAATTTTCATTGAAATGCTACGCTTGGGTGCAGCAAAAGCAACAGCGATAACAAATGAAAACTGATTTTCATTCCGACATTCTGAACGCAATTATTTCGTATGGTCTTAAGTTTTCGAAAGTGAACGTGTGCTCGCGTTTTGTGACTTTTAGGTACCGTTGGTCTGTCTATATCTGTCTGCCTCTGTCTATCCGAATGCTTCTGTCTCCCTCTTGCGAACCCACCTTCGGCGGTAATTGGCGTTGTTGTTTTATTATTGTTGTTGTGGGCGTAGGTCATGCTTGAGGGCGCCATATTGCAACATAATTATATCGCTTCACCTTTATTTTCATTATATTTTATTTTTTCCGTGGTACTTCTTTTTTAACGTGGGCTTTTGGCTGAAATGACTTTTTAATGACGCAATGATAATTCAATTTGTTTGATGATTTATGCCTCGTGATATGATAATTGTTGCCTGTTGTTGTTGCTGCCGTTTGCCGTCATTGTTCTTTGCTGTCTTTTTGTTACGTAACGAGATTTCAATTCATGTTGAAATCGAGAATGTAATTAAGCATTTGTGCTTTGCTCTCGGGCTGAAAACGCATTTGGTTTAATTTTAATTTTAATATCCCGCAGATTGGTTCGTTTTCATATGCTACAGATTGGATTGCTTGATATTATAAATGACAGCTAATTAAGAGATAAAGATAGTTTTGAGTTTTGTTAATAAGTTCATCAGATTGGGAGTATTCCAAAATTAGGACAATAAAGTAAATATAAAATCAGACCTAAAGAACTATATTATGTAAATCAAGAGATTTAACACCCTTGCAATTATACCGTTAACAAGATTTTTGAACTTTATCCTAAATTAAATGATTTACATAAATAAAATATAAAACAAAAATATTTAAAACAGAAATAAATTCCAATGTTCTCTATGGTTTCCTTTTTCCCACCTCTGGCAGTAAATATAATACATTTTTCCTGTAATTCGTATATCCGATCCTGTCAGTTTCTATATTTCCCTGTATTTGCTTAGTTTCCCATTATGAGTGACTTAGTAGGGGGTTGATTTCCCCCTCCTTTTCTTACTTTCCAGAGTTTTCATAAATTTCACTCTTGCGGCGGCCTTTTTGCAGCTGCAACTTTTTTATTTGTGGCCTGGCAGGGGAACTCGTAACTCTGAGCTCCAAGAACGGCTTTTAATTTTCAAATATTTATGCTGCGCTTGCCGCAAAAAGTTTCCACTTGCAAGATTTATGCTCACACACTCTGAGACAGAAGAGGTCCAAAGTCTGGGGCAAATAGAACCGCAAAATGCTTAAGAAAAAGACAAACACGCCCACACATGAACCTTCGCAGAGGAAAAGGGCGTCGCAGGAGTGAGGTTGACTCCCCCCTCTTAATTATCCAATAAAACTTGGGAGCAAAACCACACAAATTATTGTAGGGCAATTTAACATTTTCGGCACTAGAGCAAAAACTTGGTAAAGAAGCGGAAAGGATGGGAATTTAAGATTAATGGGAAAATTAAGAGGGACACGATTAGCCCTAAAAATGTCTAGTCAATCGAATATAATAAAATAAGAGTTTTTAAACGTAAGTTTAAAAGCTTGTAATAAACTTTTGGTTAAAGTAAATAAGTGGTTAACAGGGGAATTCGGTTTCATGGTCTCAACAAAACGAAGAAAAACCACAGTTTTCTTGAACTTCTTAAAAGCATTTCCTCACCTGTGAATGTAGTAAACCTGCTTTAAAGCCAGTGTTAATACGCAAATATTTTCTGGGAAGTCCCAAAATAAACTTGTTCGTTTTTGGCATTAGCAAACTTTATGACGAGCTCAGTGGAATCAGCCGACAGCAAAGTGTATGGCCCCAAGGAACTTCTGTGTCCATCACTGTTGGCTTTTTCCTCCTCTACTCCTATTCACCCCCTATTTTCGCACACTTTCCCTCCATTTTCTCCTCAACCATCCTTCAAATGGGGCAAAAAAAATATTTCTGGCCAGGACAAGAGCAGGAAACTAAAGCTGAAGCTGAAGATGTGCATGTGTCCAAAGCTGATGGTAGTCCTGAAGAACACACATATGCAATGAAAATACCACTCGCTAAAGAGGAAGATGAAGCCGAGCGAGGAGGAAGCAGGAGGACAATCTGCCAGAAGGGAGCAACTCAGCGGTTTGTCATTGAGAGGTGTCAAGTGGCAGGCAAACACACGCAGACACACACAGCTGGAGAGCTGAGGAGGAGGTGGTGCACTGGGGAAAACATGTTTTAAAAGCATAAAAAAAATTCAAAACCCTCATCTTGACTTATAGACAAAACATTATTGATTTCACCAATTAGTTTACAAGCAGAAAGTCTTATTCAAAAAAGCTGTTTACTGTGAAATTATCGTGCTTTGTTGTTACATTTGTCTGTATTGTCGGTTAAATTTTTGACTTTCACAAATATTCTTGACTTTCTTACTGTAACTAACTGTAAAGTACGTATTGATATTTTTTTATAATTCCCAACAGGTTCTACTCTACTCTGAATTGATATAATCCATGTACTCGATATTTGTCTAAACCTAATAAATATAAATATTACTCAAATTAGGACAGAACTGTGGGCGAGCAATGCAAAAGAACTTCAGGTGATCTGCTAATTTTAAAGATTTGGCTTTAGGGTGATCCACTTACATTAACATTACCAATCCACAATATTTACTGGATCATTTAAAGTGCAAAATCAATTGATTTCAGAAAGATTTTTGATTTGTTTAGATGCTTTTTCTCTGTGTAGCATGAGGTATAAGTAGGTGGAGATGTGGGAGGGCTAAGGAGCGATAACCAGGCTGAGGATGCAACCAACAACAGCAGCACGATAAAAAAGCGTAAACATTTTAACAAAACATAATTTATGTTGCGCAAATTTTGCATTTCGAGGAAGGTTTTTGGCTTGTGAGGTGGGGGGGGGAGGTACAAGGGATGAGGTGCGGAGGAGTGGGTTATTCTGCATTGTGCAAGTCTGCAAAGGGCAATGGCCTGCCCCTCTGTTCCTCAAGCACACCACAACAAACTCCAGCACATGTTGTAGGCGCTGTGAGATTTATGAGGCGGTCTCCTCTCCTTTCTTCGCCTCCTGGATTCTCTTTTTCGGGTTCAATGGCCTCCACTTTCACCCAAGTCAAAGAGGAGCGTGGAGGGGGGCTGGTTGGGGGTCGTGGCAGAAGAGTCGGGAGCTAGAAAATTCAAAGCAGAAATCAAAGGCCTCCTAAACGTGAAAGCCAACGCCCACTGGCAGCAGTAATAAAAACACACACACAGCCAGCAAAACTTTTGCTTCGAAGCCGAAGTAAAAGTCAACTCCATGGCCAACTCTTCATCTAAATACCCGCCATCTAAAACCTCCTTTCCCAGAAAAAGCAAAAGGTGGCTTTCAACTGCCAAGTAAACACAATTTTATATTTGGCTTAAATAGGGATCAAAATAAATTTCAATATTAAAAGTCGCTAAATTTAAATAATAATTTGTCTATTGTGTCCATTTACATAAAATATTTCTCGCTGTGTATCTTCTTTCATATTACAAACCAAACTGAGCTTCGGTGATTTAATTAATTTGCCACAAAATGTGGCCAGCTTAAGGCATGTGCATAATAAGCTTGCGACGGGTTAAACAAACGGGAAAAGTCTAAAACAGTAATGCAAGTATACAAGTTTTCATGGGAAAGGGTTAAAAAACCCCTTTTTCGTGCCAATTCCCTTGCCAATTCTCGAACTGCGTTTGCAATTTTGTCAAGCTCAAAGCCCCGGACCACACTGCGTGCCATCCTCGTCTGAGGCGGTGACAAATGCAAATTGCGGCACGTAAACAGATGGAAACAGGTGCATGCGGCAAGCATCAGGATTTCTCACTGCACTTGAGGAAACCCTTTTTAATGCCACGCTGATGTGAGCAAATAATTTTATACAAAATGTGGCATCCAACGGTTGTTTTTGTAACAACTTTCTTATTTACTATTCTTGGTTTTTAAATTTATTACTAAATTAGTACCTCTTCGGTGCGCTTGAATTGACTGTTTACTTTTTAAGATTTTTTAGAATTATGATAGCTGTAAGGTGATCTTTTTAAAAGGTTCAACAAAGGCTTTATTGACTTTAAACACACATTTTTATCTAACTCCCCCTTAATGACTTCCTTGTGCTGAAACTTGTACTTTCAGTTGCAAGTACTGCATTCCTTTTATGCAGAACTAACATGTTGGGAAGAAGTCAAGTGAACTAAGAAAAAAGTGGATAAAGAAAGGATATCCCATGGGGTGGTGAAAGTTCATAAGCTCTGTGTTAATTTGTTCATAAAAAGTTCATAACTTCTGAAATTCATATGCCAAAGTTTGAAGATCGGTTAAAACAACACCAATTTTGTTTAGATAAAATGGACATTGGTTTGAGACCAGAACATTTCATTGGCGGGCAAAAATATTAATTACAAATCGTTCAAATTAAGGTAAAGTTTGCTCCCTATTGATTTCTGTTTGCTGGATCCAAACCTGTTCCTTAAAATACTTTTGGCTAAGTTTATGGTAGAACAGCATTCCCACGAGTAATTTTATAAGCACTCACAGCTGCTCAGAAGAATTTATGATTCATGTCAATATTTAAAAACAAATTTTAGCCAAACACGCATTTGAAATTCCTCCCAAAAGTAGGCAACCTCAAGGTCTTAACAAACACGTGCTCTGCCTGGCCTTCTTTTTGTCTCGATTAGGCCCTTGTCCTGCCCATTGTATTGAGTTAGAACAACAAGTCAGTAACGTTTCGAAAAACATTTTATGCTTGCATGCCACTGAGTTGGCTTAATCGCAGTATCCCCCCTTGTTCGCCACTTGGAAAATCCCTGGAAAACCCAGCAATAACTGACTAATTGCTCGGGTCACACACATGGACACCAACGCACACATACGCACACTCTCGAGAGAATGGAAAAAGGGGGTTTACGAATGCATTTTCATGGATAAAGACCGAACCTCAATTAGAGAGGCCATCTTGGAAAGTAAGCCCCCATTTACCAACCCCCTCCAAGCACTCATAAACAATATTGTTATACTCCACGATGCACTTAAATAAAAGTGGTAGAGGGATTTTATTGAATTATTAATTTATTTAGCTTTGGCAAACTGAAGTTTTAAAAGTCTTGCAGTCTAACAGAAAATTGAAGAATGCCTGCGCTGCGAGAAAATACATATGACAGCATTGCAAGGTCGTGACCAAAATTGTAGTACCTTCCAAAAGGGTATAAAAAAGCAATTATTAAAAAATATTTTATAAATAAAAATAAAAAATGTTATAAATAAATAAATGAAATTAACAATTATACAGGCCTTCGTTTTAAAGAAAAGTACTGAGAACAGTTGTCCGAAATAATTAATAGACCAGTTTTGCTTCTGTTTGTTTTTGAGTGTATGGGCTGAGATTTTGCATATTTACTGTGCAGAAAAACAGGAGAAGCACTTTAGTGCAATTTTTTGCACAATTGTGGTTTTGGCAAAGTAAAGTAACAACACCAGCACTTGGCACTTCCGCTTCCGGCAATTATTCTTGCTTTTAGTCAGGAAAAACGGCCAGTTCTCAAGGAATTTCATGCCTCTCGGAATACAAAAGCACGTAAAAACTTTTAGACGAGGGTTAGTAAACAACTTTTTCAACTCGCTGCAGGTTGAGTTGCATTTGCATAAGCATTTCCATTGACCAAAACCACACCACAGACCCAAAAAACCACACAACACGAACCGCAGCGAACCAAACTAAAAACTCAATTTGAAGCGTTTTCATAAATATCTGAAACTAGTGAGGGAATTTCCCCTTTTTTTTGCTTTGTCAACTTATCGGGTTTGTTATTTGTTTCTGCTTTGATGCGTCCAATCAAAATTCAAATGCTTCGCAGCACTCCCTCATTTTCTCCCAATTTGAATGCTGAATTCTGAATTCATATATTTCCCCTTTTGTCCCTTTTTCTGGTCCTTACGAACTAAGATCTCTGTGCTGGATGAGTGGCCAGGGCTTGATTAATGGCCAACTTGTTATTTTAATTAAACGAATTCAACTTAATTTATGCAATTCATACGCATTTCATCATTTTGCACTTGTCATGCAACAGACCCACAATTCCGAGGGGATTAGGGGGGTGATGTGGAACGTGGACCACGGACCAGCCACCAAAGTGGCGACACAAGAGCGGTGGGCGGGGGGCGTGGCACGATACCAATCCAATGCCAGGTCTCAGCAGCTGTAGAAGTTTTGTGGTCTGTTAATGGCTCTCGGCCAGTGGCGTCCCACCAAGGAGTTTAGCAAAACGAGTTTAGGCTAAGAGTTTTAAAATTAAAATTTGTAAATTATATAAATTAAGAGATAGCTTATTACATTGTAGAACAAAAAAACGTAATAACAAACTTTAAGGGGGGTATGGTTAATTCGGCCAAAAAAAGGCCTATTTTCATTAATTTTGTCACACGATACGGTTAATGTCAGATCAATTATTTTATAAGCGTAACAAAGTACAACATTTAAACTATGTTATCACAAATTTTCATCGAAAAAAAAATAAATGAGCCGTTCGCAGCCAAGCTTCGTATGCGCCTCCACGAAAAAAGGTTTTGCGGTGAACAGCATAACTCGTTACTGAATCATCAGAAAAAACAAAAGAAATATTGTTTATTAGTTAAGATGTTTATAAAGGTAACTACGTTGAGTTTTTTTTATTCAATTATTGGATTTTTGGTAAGACCTTGAAGCCAAAAACGTGATTTTAGCCTAAGAATTCAATATATTAGTTATTATAAAATAAAAAATAATCAGTAAAAAAAAAAACTCGACGTCAGTACCTGAGAATTTAGGTACAGAAATATTGTGCAAAATTTTAAATCGATTTGTCCAGCAGATTTTGGAGGATTTTTGCGGAGGGTTTTTAAAATGGCAACTTTTCAGGAGAGCGTTTTAAAGTTTTAGCACCCAAAAATCGAATACAAAATGAGCTAACTCACTAACTCAACTGCCCATAACTTCGGAAGTTTTACTCGGATTGATATAAAATTTTAACGCAATATTCTTCAAATGTTGTGCATTCAGAAAAAAATATATAAAAAAAAGGCAAAAATAAAAATTTAAATACTATACCCCCTTAAAATCCCCTCCACAACTCCCCACAATTACCGATGCCACTGCGCTGACAACTGACAACTCATTTAAGAATTACAAGAGCTATAGCAATAAGCGACCAACATCCAAGGCAACAATGACAACCAGTTTGATGGGCAGTCAGCTTAGGAAACTGTCAACTACAAAGATATATATGTGTGTTCTATATTCCGCATGCAGCATGTCATGGAGTTCGGGGGTCAATTAAGCCAGCTCCATATGCAAATAGTTAAGCGGATGGGATGGAAATGTGGGTGATGACATTATTGTGGCATTTAATTAAGGATTTTCCCGTTTCTCGATTTCCCGCAGGTGAAAAGCAGCAAGCATCGGAGCGTAATCGAGAAGAGGACCTTTGTGAATCACACCGAGTGCCATTGCATCGAGCGATCCAGTTACAACGAGGACACGGCCATGGCCAACTACGGGCAGTCGGTGGTGCGGGCCACCATACTGAGTTGCACCTGTCCGAAGAGTTTCGAGAAGATCCTGCAGGACGACGGGCAGTGCAGGTGCGACTGCAGTTCCGGGAACTACGACTGCGATTGGCTGAAGCGGGGCAACGAGCACTTCGCCATGAACGATCGCAAGTGAGTAGGCCGCTTGTCCCCCAGATATACCATTCCGATCCTGACCTTCTCCCACCCCCAAATAGGTGCATACAGCAAGGTCGCTGCAAGCCGCCCACTTGTGAGTTCGGTCCCTACATGGACAAACACGGTCGCTGTCCCAAACAACACGAACAACCCGCCTATAACGCCATGTCATAGGCGATGCGTACCCCAAGCGAGGAGCAGAGAAGCCAGGAAAAGTATTATTCAGTCTGTGGCAAACTCAAGACCAGACACGAAGGGAAACTGGGAAAACATTTTCTTTCCTGAACAGAGTAAAAGCGAAAAGAGAGACGTGAATTTAGTTGCATATCCTATACAAACCAACACGAAAGTAAAACGAAAATAGATCTAATTATACACTGGGTGGGTCGATTAGTAGAAGGCAAACATACTGAGTTACTTCAAAATCTTAATTGCATTCTGAGAATTTTCTTGAAAACTCTTTTAACAACTATCAACTCTTATACAAACAGATCGGCTCTAAAATCAGGATGACAAATAATGGTTTGGTCAGGAATTAAGAATGAATGAATATGTTAAAAATATTTTAGCTAACGAAACATTTTTCTAAAAACCGTTTTATTTAAATTTTAAATTAATACTTAGAGGTTGAATCTAGAGAAGAGTAAATTAAGAACTGTCTGAAAATTGATAACTTATTTTTTGCTTTCGAAAATATTGACCCAGCCAAAGATACACTTACTAATTATGTAAATGTATATCAGCTGATTGTGTATTTGATGTATTACGACCACAACATTGTCTATCCTCGATCCGATAAAAACACAAAAAGCAATATCAAACTGTAGCATTGTTCTCGAATATTACAATATACAGAACCAGAAACCAGAAAGAATTATGTGTACTTTATGCGTATGCTAAATGAAATTCCAAATATATAAATTGACTGCGTTTTTAGTTTTAATTAACTAATATTATGTTATTTAATTATAATAAAAACACAAAAACGAAAATAAATCATTAAAATTACAAATTAAATATATAAACTACCTTTATACAAGCAAAAATATTATTCATGTTATTTAAGCTAAGTTTTAAAACAAATCAAACACTCGAAAAATCAAAGCAAAAACAAAATGAAATTTTCATATTTAATTTCTAGTCAAATTTAAATTTTGTTTTTCCTATGGTCACGAATGTTTAATCGAATGTAATTTCCGCCATTTAAATCACTAAAGTAAAAGGCATTTAAAGCGGATATCACAAAATATAGAAACTAATCCATACATACAGAAAGATAAATGTATAAATCATATGAAAGCGAACCAGCCCTTAACTCTTTCGCTTATTTACAGCATTTGACATTGAAAACTTAAATCAACTAAGGATTTCTTCAATATTGAAAAATACGATTTTAAACAAAATTTATTATTTTTTGCTTCGTGCACTGCCTTTAGTTTGAGTTTATCTACTTAGCTCCGACACAAAGCACTGTATATATATTTTATGTAAATCCTACACTTAAGCGGCACCCTTTAGTAAACAACTTTGCAAGAATTATGTCTAAATATATTTCAGCGAAAGTGAAATAGTTCTCGCGTTTGCATATTAATGACATTTTCCTAGAGGCAATCGATGAGCTCAATTATTAATTTGTAGAGGAATTGGGGGCTTTAATTATTGTGAATTTATTTACCATTTAGCCAGACACCAAATGCCATTTAATGACCTGTGCCTCATTTCTAATTACCCAACCTTATCGCAAGTTTACCATAATTTAAGGGCAATCTATTTGCTCAAGGTAACTTATTTATTAATATTCGCACCCACTTAAGTAAGCATACGCATATAGAAAACGCAATCTCAATGCGACGTTGAATGTGACATGAACACTTCAATAAATCCGTTTAATTGTTTTTAGAAGCTACGGCAAGATACAAAGCAAAATGAATGGAAGATTACATTTCAACATGATTTTATTTACAACTTAAGCATAAATTTTAATGTATAAAAAATCGAAAGTAAGCATTAAGCTGAAAACAAACAAATACTAATAAAACAACATTATTACTATGCAAAAATCCAAATAAATATGAAAGTGAACAAAAATAAGAGCCAAACAATTGAAATTTAATGATTTTAATATCGGAGGTGGTTTTTGGAATGGGTGAAGTCGTGTTAATTAACAGGCTGCCGTTAAAGGAGTGAATAATGATTTTCAATCAGGGAAAGTCAAATGAAAAACTGAAAACTGCAACTAATGAGTTACTGGAAAAAACTTTTTAAAGTAATCAAAATAAAATAAGTATTTTGCTTACCATTTTATTCGCATATGTATAGATAATTTTTAACTCGTCGACAAAAAAATAGGTCTTCAGTTAAAATCAACCATCTAATAATTAACACGACATTAAGAAGTGGTTTTAAATAAGCCGAAATAAAAATATATTTATAATTTCATCTGCAATCAAACTAAATTTTAAATGTTAGCTGCCCAAAAATAATTGGAACCTCTATTTACTTAGACGCTACTCTTTATACACAGCCCGATTACAAGTGGACCCATTTTGGGGGCCAATTTTGTGCTAATGACAATGTCTGAGCTGAAAAGTTTGTACTAATGAAAATGCATAACAAATAGTAGTTCGCCATTTGACCGACTTGCCACCCTTCCGACACCCAATCGCCACCCACCTGCACCGCCGCACTGATGTAATTTTCGCACACACACAGACGCACAGGGGTATGGGTGCCGGTCTCATTATGATCTAAAATTTATAGAATTTATAAGTGGAGTGCACCCAGAAGGGATAACGAGGATAGCAGCGCCACCTGGCGGCGGGTAAGGAAACCACAACGGAGATAAGCTCACTTAGTTTCAACTGTTAGGTTCTGCCGTTTTAGCTATTTCAGCCATTTTTATACCCTTGCAGAGGGTATTATAATTTTGGTCAAAAGTGTGCAACGCAGTGAAGGAGGCATCTCCGACCCTATAAAGTATATATATTCTTGATCAGGATCACCTCCTGAGTTGATATAGCCATGTCCGTCTGTCCGTCTGTCTGTTTCTACGCAAACTAGTCTCTCAGTTTTAAAGCTATCGAATTGAAACTTTGCACACACCCTTCTTTCCTTTGCACGCAGTATATAAGTCGGAACGGCCGGGATCGGCCGACTATATCCTATAGCTGCCATATAACTGATTGATCGGAAATGCCATAACTCTGCTGTTTGTTAAGTTAGGAAGTTGGGACTCTCTATGGGTATTATATTTGGCCAATCAATCCGACGTACCAAATTTCATAAGGATCGGCCGACTATATCCTATAGCTGCCATATAACTGAACGATTGGAAATACCATAACTTTGGTGTTTGTAAAGTTAGAAAGTTAAGATTTTCTACAGGTTTTATATTTGGCCAATCAATCCGACCTACCAAATTTCATAAGGATCGGCCGACTATATCCTATAGCTGCCATATAACTGAACGATTCGAAATGCCATAACTTTGGTGTTTTTAAAGTTAGGAAGTTTGGATTTTTTATGAGTATTAAGAATGCATCATAGGAATAATTTTGGAGAATATTATTATAGAGAATTCTGCAAGGGTATATCAACTTCGGCTCCGCCCGAAGTTAGCTTTCCTTTCTTGTTCAATTTAAATCAGATGAATAAATTAAGTAGCTGGCATAGAAAAGACAAGCAATGTAACTTCTATCGTTTTATAAAAGTAGGATGTATGTCATCAAATGGTAATATTACTGTAAGGGCATTATTAAATAGGCGGAGTACAGCTTAACATAATCAGTTAAAATTGCAATGAATGTGGCTTCAGGTTCCGGATAATTCATCCAACGTTTTGGGCGTCTTAAAGTGCGTTTCTCGAGGAGTGTGAGTCCCTTTCCCGTTTCTCGTATCGCGCATTCATCGATTTCTGCCAGCCAAGTGAAATCACACGGAAATGCAAACAAGGCAGCGGCAACAAGCGGGGGTGGGAAGTGGGCGTGGTGGGGGGACCGCTGCATGTGGGCGTGGCAGGGGAAATTGCAATGGCAAACAGCGGAAAGGAAAGGATCAGGCGAAATGCATGGCCACGAGCTCACAAATTAAAACCGCACACGGAAAGGATGCGACTGTTTAAGTGTGTGTGCGTGACGCAGTTTGCATGTGTGTGGGTAAGGAGAAGCAAAGCGAAAGAGAGGGAGAACGAGAAAGGAGTAGCCATGATATGCCTGCATAATTAATTCCCACTTTATACACAGTCACACACACACACACACACACACACACACAAAATTTGAAGTGGGTAACATTCCTCGTTTTTCCCACCAGGAAATGCCGCAGCTCTCAAATTGGAACTCTCTCCCACCCACACACAGCCACACCCTCTCACACACCCATACATCACATAAGGCCACACAGACAGGTGAAGTTAATATAAAGAGCCGACCTGCGTTTAAATCCTCACTAAATTGCATTTAATTTCCTGCTAAAACTCGATTGCCATGCGATACGAAATAATGATTAAATGACGAGCGGAAAGGAAAACCGCTGCGGGAATATAAATGCAAAATAAATAGAACGCATACATAATTTAAATCAACATATTATTCAAACGTTTAATATATATCTGTGTAAAATATTACCTAGTATCCACTTATTTTCTTTAATAATATCGCAACATAATTTGTAGTTATTTTTTCTAAGATTAATTGAGTTAATTTTTTAAATTAAGGACAAAATTAGGGAAACTGTTCCTAAAACAGATATTTTAAATGTATAAAATATTTCTAAGATGTAGGGCAGCTTACCTCAAACTTAAGGAGAACTTATATTGAAAATTTTAGAAATATTTAAAAACAAGAAATTACAAATGAAATCACTTATTATTATATTATTATTATATTAAAAATATAATTCATATGCCCCCAGCTGATGGCGCATTTCCTTCGCTGCAATGTGTCGGCTTATATTGATCAAAGTCTTAAAAAATATATATCGAATCAGCAGTATAATTGGAAATAACAGTGCTTAGACAATTTTTAAAAAAAATGGCTTTTGCAATAAAGTTTGAAATGGGTATAACTAAGTACATGCCCAAGTAAATGATTTCGTTATGTTTTATAAATAACCAAAGAATAAACACAAACAATTTGGGTACGCTATTGGCTTTGGTAATAACTTTTTAGAGCGGACCAACAGTCAACAGATGCAAACATGAAATAGTCTCTCAGGTTTAAGGCTGTGCAGATTTATTGCAGTTAGTTTATACAACGGACGGGCCGGATTGGAAAATAACCCATAAATGAAATAACCCATAAAGTAACGATCAATAAAAAAAATTAAAATATCGTACAGTACAAATAGCTGATATAAAAACTACCAGAAAATTAATGGAAATTTCGTTGAGAACTTGTCAAATAATTATATTCCCCAGTACATTCTTATAACTGGAAGTGTATTTAAACCTCGGCCTCCCGAAGTTAGATTTCATTCTTGTTCTTTGTCTTTCTGACAGCCAAAAAAGCTCATATTCTGAGAAACGATTGAAGTGGTTATAAATAAAATTTTACGTACATTTTTCTCAGAATATAATAATTATTTTTTTCTCGAAAAATATATTTTGCCTTTCTTGTTTCTTAAAAAAAAAATAATTTTATATGGGTTCTGGGAATACAAAAATTATTCATTGTTTGGCAAAATTTCTTTACCAAAATCTGTTTATTACACGTTCACTCAGTTCGAATATACGCTACAGAGTAAGTCTCTTTTGGTGTGTACCATCGATAAATTGTAATTTTATACTAAAAGCTAGAGAGAACCTTGTGTTGGCCTACTATAAATTCATACTTAATTAAAATAATTGTAAAGTGGTTTGTTAAACACTGAACACAGTTACAAAATTGCATAAATTAAATACTTTTTGCATTAACAACTATTTATATAGGCGGTTTAATGGTTTAAATGTTTCCCCCGTTTCAGTTAATTTCAGCGTCATTCTGAA